ACTTCGTCCTGTGTTGTGTAACTTTAAAAAAAACCAAAACAATAACCGAGGGAGAAAACCGCCTCGTTGATGACATTCTTATGACATTTACATGAGACATAAAGCTCAAAAGGATAATTCAAAATCCAAAGAGGTGTTGATAATCTGGAGTACTACATCAGGTCAATTCTAATACCGTTAATTTAAGAAGATGTAAAGCCTTACACTGAAGTTGGAAAAAAACATCCACAAATTGTAGATGGGAAGACATGGCTAGACAACAGTGCATCCGAAAAATTCTTGTAGTTTTGGTTTACTGAAGCTCAATATGAGTCAACACTTAGTATAGCGGTCAATAATAATAATTGTTATTACTATGGCTTATGTTTATAGCACTTTAAGCTTTGCAGAGCTGTTTAAACATATTAATTCATTTGATCTTCATAACTCTGTGAGTTAGGTGAACTGTTCATCCCCATTTTACAACTGAGGAAATTGAGGCTGAGAGAAGTTAAGTGATTTGTAGAGCTAGCAAATATCTGAAGGATTTGAACTTAGGAATTTCTTAATTCCCATATCAGTGCCTTATTGACTACATCACCCAACTGCCGAGGAAGCTAATATAATTATAGATGCCTATTGTCCAGGACTAGCAAAGTGATAGCTGTCCTATATTCTACTCTCAGTCAGATCACATATAGAATTTTTGTGTTCAGTTCAACTCACCCCATCCTAAAAATGGCACTGATATGGTAGAGAATACACAAAAGAGGGCAACAAGGATAATGAGTGGCCTTCCTTATGAGGATAGATTAAAGGAACAGGGAATGCTTAGCTTTAATAAAAAAAAAAACAACTTAGGGGCAGCTAGGTGGCACAGTGGATAGAGCACCAGCCCTGAAGTCAGGAGAACCTGAGTTCAAATCCAGCCTCAGACCAAACATTTGACACTTACTAGCTGTTTGACCCTGGGCAAGTCACTTAACCCCAATTGCCTAAAATAAAAAAAAAATTAAAAATCTTGGGGCTCAGACCTCCAATTATCTGAAGATAAGATAGAAAAGAAATTAAACTTGCTCTTTTTGGACCCAGAGATAGAACTAAGGGCAATAGTTAGAAATTGAAAAGAAGCGAATTTATGATTTTTCCTCCAATAGAATATAAGATCCTTAATAGACAGGGATTGTTTAATTTTTTTCTTTTTATCCCCAGAACATACAATCTGGCACATAATAAACATAGTTTGAATGATTTATTGATTACTAGATAGGGAAAAATGCGCTTTTAAAAACAGAGCTATTTCCTTTGGATAGTGGGCTGCCTTGGATGGTAATGGGCTCCTCATCAAGCAGAATGTTATATTGAACTGGAGATTCTTTGGAGGACCTGGATTAGTCTAAACAGCCACAGAAACCCTTTATGACTTTGAGACCCCTTAATTTTTTTTTTAAATGAGAGACACCTTGTCCTGCTAGTAAACTGTAATTCTGACTTGGCCATGTCAGTACCACGGACAGTGACATATTCACTTCTGCATCCTAAGTCTGAAATTAGTGTGGATTTCCCAGAAGCCCTGAGCAACACCAAGCTGGCAATTGTCCACTTTAGCAATAGCCTAGTGATAGCCTAGAGATAGCCTAGTGTAGCCAGAAAGACTGTGGAGTGGGATGTCAGAAAGCTTGTGTTGTGCTTCTGAAACTTAATTTGATTCTTGGGCAAGAGTCAGTACAGTACAGTGGAAAGACAACTGGATTTGGTGACAGAAGACTAAGGTTTGAATTCAAGTTCTAGCTTTTACTACCTGTGTGACCTTGGGTAAGTCACTTATTTTCTCTGTCGAAAGAGGAGATTAACTGACCTCTCAGTTCCCTTGTAACTCTACATCGATGATCTTTATGATACAAAGTCACATCATCCATCTGATCTTCAGTTTCTTCATCTGTGAAGTGATCAAGGTAGATAAATGATCTCTGGTTCCCTTGTAGGTCATGGTCTCTTAGGACTATGTCATGAAGTGCCAATGTAGCTTCACCAGAGGCACAACTGAATTATCTAATGAATGTATGAAAAACATTTCTTGAGCACTTACTATATGCCAAGAACTGTGTTAAGGGATGGGGATGTAAATACAAAATTAGAGTAATCCATTCCCTCAATGAGCATAAATTATATTAGAGACAGACAACACATGGAGTAGTCATAGGCAGGAAACAGTATTTTGGCCTGGGAAGTCACAGGGATGCTAAGTGGAACCACGTGGGTATCAATTGATAAACCTTTTCCAGAAGTGATAGTGGAAGCGATTTCATTACAATTCCTAGAGCAAGAGGTGGAATGGGCATGGGCTATAGGTATGAGTAGCCTGGTTGATGACAAAGTAGGACCAGGGTGGATAGCAGGATGGAATGTGAAGCATGGACTGGTTGGCTTGAGGCCTGTTAGATAGAGAGGTCTATGTGTTTGTACTTACTCACTTATCAATCAGTATAGCTTGGCCCCAGTGAGGGAGCTCCAGTATTCCCATTAAATCCCCCAGAGAATGGTTTCTAGAAATCAGGAAAAAGTGTTGTAGCAGGTCAGATAGCAAGATGACAACTGTAGTAGATTGCTTGATAGGATGCAAAATATCTCATCTAGTCTAATTAGTTTAACTAGTCTAAACCACTAGCTAAAAACTGTTCCACAAAAATTAAATTCAATATCATTTTCTTGAGCAGCCAATGAGATCAAAGGGTTTTACAGAGAAGGAAATGAGGCCCAAAGAGGGCAAGTGACTTGTCCTAGGTCATGTAGGTAATAAGCAACAGAATCAGGACTTGAACTCAGATCTTACGACTCCTTATCCAGTATTCTTTCCACTAAACAACACTGCCTGTGGGCCTGCATCAATGATAAACTCTGTGAATATTTTAGTAAAACATGGTTTTGATGTGCTGTGTGGTATAGGGTAGGTGTCAAACTCAAATAGAAATGGATCCTTTCAGCCCCTATGTGTCTTACCTCTTAAATTACTTGGTAAATTTCTTGACGGGAGGATGATATGATCAGACTTATACTTTGGGAAATCACTTTGGTAGCTAAATGGAGGATGGATTGGAGTGGGAGACTTGAAGCCCACCAGCAGGCTATTACAAAAATCAAGACATGAGGTGAGGAGGGCCTTCACAGAGGGCTAGCAGTGTTGGAGGAGAGAAGGGAGCATATTCGAGAGACATTACACAGGTGAAAATCAACAGGCTTTGGCCACAGCTTGGATATGGGGTGGGAGTGGGATGAGAGGTAGTTGAGGAATCCAGGAGGACCCAGGTAGTGAGTCTGAGGGATTAGGAGGATGGTGTAGCCTTCTGCAGTGATTGGGAAGGTAGGAGTGGGGTGGGGGTTTAAGGGGAAAGCTAATGAGATATTTTTTGGACATATTGAGGTTAAAAAATCTCCTGGACATTCAGTTTGAGATGTCTGAAAGGCAGTGTTTGGACCAGGATAGTTAGATTTGAGAATCATAAACATAGAAATGAGAATTAAATTCATGAGAGCTGATTAGATCACCAAATGAAGTAGTATAGAGAGGGAAGAAAAGAGGGCCCACGACAGAGCCCTGAGGGACACCTATAATTAGAAGTCATGATGTGAAAGAGGAACTAGCAAAGGAGACAGAGAGGGACTGGTCAAATAGGTAGGATCAGAACCATGAGAGAGTGGTGTCCTGAAAACCCAGAGAGAAGAGAGTATCAAAGAGGAGAGAGTGATTAATAGTGTCAAAGGCTGGAGAGAGGCTGGAGAGAATGAGTATTGAAAATGAATTTGGAAACTAAGAGATTATTAATAACTTTGGAGGCGGTAGTTTCAGCAGAATGACAGAGTTGGAAGTTAGATTGTAAGGGGTTAAAAAAAGAGTAACAAGGAAGAAAATAAAGGCATCCACTGTAGACAACTTTTGAAGGAATTGAGTTACAAAGGGCAGAAAAGATTTAGGATGATAGCTAGCAGGGATGGAAGGATCAAATGAGGATTTTTTCAGGGTGAGGGAGACATGTGCATGTTTGTAGGCAGTGGAAAATGAGCCGGTAGAAAGGGAGAGATTGAAAATAAGTGAAAAAGTGGGTGTGACAGCAAGGGCAATATGTCAGAGGAGATGGAATGGAATGGGATCACTAGAAGAAGTAAAGGGATTAGCCTTGGTAAGGAGTAAGACTAATTCTTCACATGAGACAGGGGTGAAGGAGAAAGTGGCAGACAGCATATGAAAGAAACAGGAGAGAAGTGAGGGTTCATCTTGAATGGCTTCCATTTTTTTTTCTGTAAAATGAGGTGAAGTTCTCTGCTAAGAGAATGGGGGGATGCAGAACCATGGGAAATTTGGGGAGGCATGAAAAGATTTTTAAAGAGCCACTGTGGAGAGTGGGATAGTGAGTCAATAACTCAGGTAAACTAGTATTGCCTAGCAACAGTGAGGGCCCAATTGAGGTGCTGTAATATAGTAGTGAACCCTGTCAGAACAGTTGCATGACTTTCTCCCCCTTTGTTCAACAACACATGTGTAGGCGCAAAGGTGACAAAAGGTAGGAATGATCCAAGGCTGAGACTTGGCTGGGTGTAATCATCATTATGATAATGGGGATAGAGATTCAAGGGAGAAGGACAGTGTAGAGAGTTGAATTGGTTCACCAAAGGGTAAAGATGGGGAGAAGAAGAGAAAATAACTAGTGTAAGGGAGATGACCTAGGAAAGTATTTGAGGGATCACAGGATTGGAGGTCATAGTTCAGATAAAGAGTAAGATTTTGTATGGGAAGGCAGAGGGAGAAGTGAAAATCCAATAGATTATGGTCAGATAAGGAGATCCCATAATTCTTGAACATAGAGGTACATTTGTGGGAAAGGGCAAGATCAAGGATATGACCATCTTTGTGTCTAGCTGAAATAGGGTGAAGAAGTAGTTCATGGGAAGTCAGTAAGTTGAGGAATTGAGTTGTTAAGGTGTTTGAGGGAAAGTTAATGTGTATGTTAAAGTCCCCTGCCATGAGGTCAGGAATTGAGAAAGAGAGAAAAATTGTGAGCTAGGTATTGAACCCATTGAAGAAAGAAGGGGAGTGACCTTGGGGTCTGTAAACAACAGCTGACCGGATTTTGATTTGGTGGTTGATATGAAAAGTATGGGCCTCAAAGTAAGAGAAGATACTACTGAATGATGGAGAAAGGAGAGAAGCTGAAACTGTCAGTGGAGAGCATGGGGTATTGCCGCTTCACTAACCCAACCAGTGAACCAAGAATGAGTAAAAGTGCAACCGGGATTGGAAAGGGTGATCAGGAAAGCTGTGTCATCAGGAGGAGCTGTGTTTCAGTTAGAGCTAGCAGATGTAGGAGAGGAATAGATTTCATATGAAGAAAAGTTTGTTGTCTATGAAACAGGTATTCCATAAGGCACAGTGGAAGGGCTGGGTGGAATTAGGATGAAACTTTGGAATAGGAATGTTAGGGTGATGGAAATGAGAATTTGGGTGGCAGGGATTGGGGAATGGGGTTTGGATGAATGTGTGTATGTGTGTGTGTGTGTGTGTGTGTGTGTGTGTGTGTGTGTGTGTGTGTGTGTGTGTGCTCCTGGAGTTTAGAGACTCTGGGATGTTAAGAGTATAACCAAATGTGAGAATATTCATCACTGAGTGTTGGGTGCCTTCAAAGAACAGGTACAGCAGGAGATAGGAAGCCTGAAATTTAAGACTGTGTTATTTTTCTTTACACTGAAGTTCTCCACATCTCAGCTGGGAGATTGGACTGGCAATAGGAGGTTGGAATTGTCTTGTGTTAGCACAGAAAAAAGTGGTTGCTTTGGGGCAGTTGGAAGACACCTGTCCCTGCTCCTTGAAGGCTTTCCTCAGGGGACATGTTGCACTTAGCAGGAGATCCAAGGTACAAATAGGAGGAGTTGAGGAAGGAGAGCATTTCAGATACGGAGGACAGTAAGAAAAAATGCCTGATATCCTGGTTGAGGTAAGTCAACAGGAGGAAATCTCCTTTACTACCCTGAAAATATGCCCCATATTGAAGAAATGCTTGTCTTGGATTCATGGTGTTACATAAAGTTAACTTGGTTTCCTGGCTGTGTTGTAAATGATTTGGGATCCTTTGAGGTGGAAAAATCAGGTTACTGAGTCATGCTGAGTCTATTACTCAAAAACATCCTGAGTAGCATAATTAGAAACAGCTGGAGCAGGCCCCATTTCAATACACCCTTCCATTATAGAAAAAGGCAGATGAGGGAAGAGAGAGGTTGCTATGGTTTTACTCTACTGACACATTTAGGTTCCTGGCTCTCATCTGGGTCCATCATGTCATCAAAACCACTGCTCATGACCTCCAGTTTCAGGATTGGAGGCTGAGTCTTTGTACTCTGAACTTCCTCCCTACCTCACACTTACCATCTTCAACATAATGGGAGAAAGACACAGGCAGTTTTATCGTTTCCCAATTAACTTTCCTGATTCCTCTATGTAGTAAGAGGGGAGATATGCCAGTCACTCCCAGAAGAAGATTACTGACTCTTGGAAGCCCCTGGCTTCTCATACACACTTTAGACTATCACAGAAAACTCCATGAATCCTTACACCTATATTATGGATACATATTGTATATCCAGTTGTGGAAGATGAAGACATCTTTAACTATATTACTCAGCTTCCAGCCTCTGGACACCTTTCTTTTCTACTGCCACAGATACTACTGCCTGGTCATACCTCCTCTATATTCTGGCAATATCCCAAGAACCTTTGCTTTTTATTAGACTCTGTGAAACTATTATTGTTTATGAAGATATGCTACCATGCTGTAGAATTATGCATAGATTTATAAGGAATGTAGTTGCTACAGAGAACATAGTGTCAAACTTGGCTGTGGATTACTATGTGATGTAGTCTCTGAACAATTGTCATAATAGAAAGATCAATCAACAAACGTTTAATAAGTGACTATTTATGCTACTATATGTTAGGTACTATGCTAAGCACTGGGGATACAAAAAGAGACAAAAGACAGTCCCTGCCCTAAAGGAGCTCTCAATCCAACAAAACAGCATGAAAACAAATATACTAAGCAAGCTGTATTCAGGGTACGTAGGAAACAATTAACAGAGGGAAGGCACAAGAAGCAGGAGGGGTTGGGAAGGCTTCCTGTAGAAGGCAGAATTTTAGTTGGGACTTGAAGGAAGCCAGGGAGATTAGTAGTCCCACCAGAGGAGGGAGTGCATTCTGGCCATGGGGGGCAGCCAGAGAAAATCCCTGGAGCTGAGGGATAGAGTTTGTGGAATAGCCAGGAGGCCAGGGCCCCTGGATCAAACAGTATGTGTCAAGGATTAAGGTATTAGAAGACTGGAAAGGTAGAAGGGGGCTAGGTTATGAAGAGCTTTGAATGCCCAACATGATTTTAAAAAATTCAATCTTGGAGGGAATTAGGGAGCCTATGGTTGGAGCAACTCAAGCTGTCTCTGAAAAATCTCTCCTAGCAGATTCAGACCTTATTACACTTGCCAAATAGGAGTTTTTTCCAAGCCTTGCTGTAAGATGTTGCTGTTGTTGTTCTGTCCTTCATTGTCACTTTAGAATTGGTATAGAGCCATTTTTTATAGGTATTTGGAGGGGTTTGGGGGAGAGCTCAAGCCAGTTACTGCTTTCACTCCACCATCTTGGCTCTGCCTCCACTGTCCTTCATTGCCAAAGAAGACCAATGACATCATGGGTGATGTCTTGACTTGTGCATGAATTGGATTTAAGTGAGGCAAAGTTATACAAAGTTGTAACTTTCTTCCTGAGCCGGTGGCAGGACACTTGTCAAGATGACTGGTGATGGCCCAAGATGCAGTGGATGACCTTGGCATCTTCGATGTCTGACCAAGCTCTAAGTACTCTACAGCATCTGCCTCAGCTGCCTTCATGGACATTGGAGCATATTGTTCTCATCTGCCCATTCTGCTAGGTAAAGTCTTCTATGCATGGGGCAGACATCCCCCTAAATCACTAATAAGGTTGAGGCTTCTTAGTTACCCTCAACCTCGTTTCACCCATCTGCTCAGATAGTTTATTGGGGTGTGGTCACTGTGCTGCAGCTTCATGGAGCCACAGGTGAGAGATGGGTGAAAAGTGGACACCAAAGTTGGATGAGCAGCCCCGAAAAGGGCTTAGCAAGGGGCAGCTAGGTGGCACAGTGGATAAATCACCAGCCCTGGATTCGGGACAACCTGAGTTCAAATCAGGATTCAGACACATAACGCTTACTAGCTGTGTGACCCTGGGCAAGTCACTTAACCCTATTGCCTAGAAAAAACAAAACAAAACAAACAAAACAAAACAAAACAAAAAAACTGGGCAGCTAGGTGGCACAGTAAATAGAGCTCTGGCCTTGGAGTCAGAAGGACCCGAGTTCAAATCCAGCCTCAGACACTTAACACTTACTAGCTGTGTGACCTTGGTCAAGTCACTTAACCCCAATTGCCTCACCAAAAAAAAAAAAAAAAAAAGAAAAGAAAAGAAAAAAAAGAAAAAGAAAAGGGCTTAGCAAGCTCTCACACCAGAGGTGTTAGTCCTCTTGGAAGACCCACACCCCTGTAAGACATTAGACATTTGGGAAAGCTACATGTAGACATATGCCTATATCAGACCAGAGTCTCTTCAGAAACTCAGGAAATACGAATAGAAAACCCTGAGGTCAGGGAGAATCTTTATTTAAAGCAAGCTGCAGAAATTATATCCAAAATAAAAAATAAACAAAAATGTTTCAATTTAATTTAAAAAGAAGATGAATTCTTAGACTGGAATTTCAAAAAGTCCTGTTACAATTTGATGTCATGAATCTAACAGATCAATTACACCAAAACAGTAATTTTTAAAAAGCTCAAATTTACTGTAGTTATCATAAATACATACAATCTCCCACAGTATTTTCCATAAAGGGTGAATGTAATTCAGTACCAACACAATAGTATATGTGGTGGCCATAAAATAGACATAGTAAAAACCATTGTGGAAAGGTTATCCTGAGGGCATCAAACACCACTGTGGAAGAATTGATATCAGATGGATATTGCCAACTTTTAGAGATGCAGCAGATAGTTCCACTGATATCTAGGTGATTCCTGCAGTACAAAATTGGAACCCCACATCATCCCAATAAAGGCAAGGAAAAAGAAACATGGAAAATGAAACCCAGAAAACAAAAATGTATCAGAAATTCTAGGTTTCCTTCATCAACTACTGAAAGTAAAAGTCAATAGGATGAGTTGATACAAGGAGTCAAAGTAACAAAAAGAACAAAACAAGTATTTTAACATCAATTAAAAAAAAGACACCTTAATTGTAGAGGCTTGAGAAGCAAAGAAATTTGAGGAGAGAACTGGAGGGTGTGAAAAATATATATAAGGAAAATGTAAAGCTACAAAAAATGCAAAATGGATCAAATGAGAAATAAAAAAGTTTGCTCACAGTTAATATGATGAATGACAGAATAGTTATGTCACAGAAGGTGATGGAAAATCTACCTTCTTTGTAAATTGCAATTTATCAGTGCTAGATGATTATTGGCTGAAAGGCCTCCTAGTAAAGCATGAATTCCTGCAAAGCACTAGATCAGTTTCTAAACATATGCTGGATTCCCATCTTTCTTAAGCAAGGGCATCATATATCTACCATCAAAAGATGAGATTACCAATGACTCATCCAAATATAGGTGAATCACATAGACTGTATACAAAGCAGCCACTGCTTTTATCACACACACCTGTAAAAATTTTTTTCCCTGAGGCAATCGGAGTTAAGTGACTTGCCCAAGGTCACACAGCTAGTAAGTATCAAGTGTCTGAGGCAGGATTTGAACTCAGGTCCTCCTGACTCCACGGCTGGAGCTTTATCCACTGTACCACCTAGCTGCCCCAGGTAAACTCTTAAAAGGAGAAAAAAACCCTAACATATTGACTAAGGAACAAAAAGAGTATACCAAGAATTCACAGAGGTATAATGAAGAAATTATTAATTTGATAACTGAACAACTTGCTTCATAAAGTTTATACTGACTCTACTGATTCTGTTCTGCACTAATTAATAGTTTATTTATGAACTTGGAGATCCATATGTCCATATGGAAAACTGTTTTCTACTTAAAGCATGCCACCTAATGTCAAGAATGTTGATATGAAACATGGAGTTTTTCAAGGAGCCAGTTGAAACCACTTTTGGTTCTGCCCAGCCTTACATCTATTACTATCCCTCCTGAGGAGGACTAAGTATGTTTTCAAAATAAAAGAGGGAGTTGAGCCCAAACACCTCACTAATCATTTGGCACACACGCAGACATACAAATCTATGGTGCCACTGAAAAACATTAAACACAAAAGAATAGTGACAGGAGAGTGACAGCGGCAGCTCTAGGGGGCACAGTGAATAGAACACTGTTTTGGAGTCAGGACAACCTGAGTTCAAATTCCGCCTCACACACTTACTAGCTGTGTGACCTTGAGCAAGTCACCTGACCTCCTTTTGCCTAAGTTTCCTCATTTGCAAAATAGGATAAATTTGTAAGTGGGGTTTTTGTAAAGTGTTTAGCATAGTGCCTGGCACATAGTAAGCTCTATATAAATGTTAGCTATTGACTATTGTTCCAGGACAATTTCTATCTGAACTCCATCAAAAAAGAAGAGGAGAATAATTTTTCTACAATAATGATAATAATAATAATAGTATTTCTATAATAATAAAGTAAGAGTAATAATAAATTATAATTATAAATTTATAAAATAAAATTATAAATATATATAACATTATAAATAAAAATAAAATAAATAATAATAAATAACAAAAAGTAACAACAATGCACATCATACGGTACTTTAAAATATGCAAGGCACTTTACATCTGTTATTTCATTAAAGCCTCACACCAATCCTATGCAATAGGTATTCTTATCCCCATTTTACAGATGAAAAAACTGAGCTTCAGTGAGGTCAAGTG